TCATGATTTATAAATTAAGCGCAGATGAAGCAACGCCGGGAGGTTGAGCCTTCCCCATTTCGGAAGGAGCCTCACTTATAAATTATATACATTTTAATCTAAGTGCAGATTGCTGTAGGACAGTATTTGGTCACAAACGGCAGGATGGGGTTATGCCAGCGGCTTTAGCTACCAACTGTAAATATGCCAGAAAAATGGAGGTTTGCTTGAGAAAACATATTTAAAGCATTATAGACTGGCTCCGAAGGAGGAAGCCTGTCAGAATAAATACTCCATGAATGCTGTGCTAGGAGCCCTGGGGAGTATTATTCTTACATAAATGATTCCTACTCTTTCGGGAGAAACCGCTGCTATTTTCCCTCAATTTTCTTAATTGCTGACAAGAGCGACTGTGTTAGTCCAGCAGAAACTTGGTTTTCAAGGCCTTTGAAAGCTTTCCGTTCTCCGCTCTACAGCGCAGCCAGCGCTGGGGGGAGCGGGAGCTGAAAGCCCCGTCTCAGCGCTGACCTTCCCCTGGGACCGCGCGTGGTCCGCGTCCCACCCGACACGGGCCGGCTCCCGAGCGCCCGTGCAGCTGCGCCACGGCTCCTGGGCTCGTGTGTCGTCCTCGTGGGCACGGCTGTGCTGCTGGGGGTCCTGCCCGGCCCTTCCCGGGGGGGGAAGCAGAGCCTGGGGTGGGAGCGATGCCCCGTGGGTTCCCACGGCGGCACCCAGCAGGGCTCTGACCGGGAGGATGTGCTAATTGGGTCCTGCCCGCCGGCCACGTTCGTTTTGCCCTGAGCCGAGCTGGCCGGCTCTCCTCCTCCTTTGCCGAGGGGGGAGTTGCAGGGCTGGAGCTCCTCGGCCCGCGCTCACGCTGCAGCATTGGTGCTGGACGGGGGTCGGATGAGTTTGGGGAACACCAGCGTCCCCTCCGTCACGGGTGCGTGGATGCAAACTTCCCGCTCCCGTGCGTGCCGTTAGCTCATGTTGTCATCTTTGATTTTTACTTCACTTTGCTCTGTTGCAGGTCAGCATCGCCACCCCGAAGCAGAAGCCGAAAACTCCATTCTGCTTTGGTGAGTGGGGGGATGCTGGGCCACGGCGGGGCTCTGCCGGGGGGGACGCCCCACCATGGGAGGCTGCAGTTTGCAGGACCCGCGGGACCTGCCTGCGGCATCCTTGGGGCCGGGGAGGGACGGGGATGCTGCCAGCGCACACTCGCGCTCACCCTGCGCTGGCCCTGTCACTGCGACCCCCCGTGCGGGATGCGCAGGCAGAGCCTGGGGAGGGGGCAGGACCCTGTGGGTCCCCTCCGTGCCGGTCCCCTTCGCTGTGCTCCGGAATACTTTCCGCGTGTCCCGTTGTGCTGCGCTCTGTTGTGCAATACAGTTTTTTTCCCTTTTTAACGCCTGCATAAGCTGCTGTCCCTGTTGGTGCCAGGGAGGGGTGTTTCCTATCCCATTCCCCCACCCCAAACGGCCTCAGCCCGACCCGACTGCCTCAGCCCCTCCTGCGTGAGCTGTGAACTCGGGTTTAAAGCAACAGAAAGGAGAGCAGAAGGACATACGTGTCCCAGGGGATCAGCGTTGCCTTCGCAATGCTTTACCGCGAGGGATGTAGCCCAAGACCAGAGCGCACGGCGCATCCCTGTGGGACGGGGCTGCTCCGGGGGAGCCCGGTGTGGCAGAGCCTGGGCACGAGGCTCCTGGGAGTTTCGGCAAGGTCTTGTGCCGAGAATATCTCCAGCTTTTTGGTGTAGAAGTCCTCCGAGAGCTGCCGGCCAGGAAGCAGCGCTCGCTGGGGAGCGTGTCCTCGAGGAGAGGAGCTCCCCAGACCCCGCGGGGGGTTGGCACCGACGTCTCGGCTGAGAGTCAAAGCCCAAGTGCCGAGTGAAGGAATCCCCGAAGGGCCCTCAAACACCCCGCGCGAGGGGGTAACTTCAGCACGAGATCGAGTCCTAATTTGGGCCATGCCACAGCCTTGGTTTAAGCCTGGCTTCAGCCCTGCTCTCCCTGCGCGCTGGATGGACCCAGCTGCCACATCCCCCTCCACGTCCCTCAGCCGCTTCTCCGTGCGAGGGGTTACGAGACCGACATCTGCAAATCGCTCTGGGACAGGGCGTTGAGAGATGCTGTCTTGTTGATTTATTGTTTAATTTGTTTTAATAATGCTGAGCACTGAATGGGGTTCCCTAACTCTTCTTTTCGTTCCCTTCTTTGATAGTTATCAATGCTCTATCTCAGCGCTATTTCCTACAAGCCAGCGATCAGAAGGACCTGCAGGACTGGGTGGAGGCGCTGAACCGGGCCAGTAAGATCACGGTAGGTTGCATTACGATCCTCTCTGGTGTTGCTGTGTCCTGCCTTGATGGGACACTCGATAAGCGCCTGGAAGAGCTGTGCTTCTCCTTCCTGCGGTACTCTCCTCCTCCGTCGCCTCCCCGGTCCCTCCTGGGGAGCAGCCATGGCGGCGGCCGCGCTGTCCCCAGCCCGGCAGCAGGTCCATGCCAAACCTGCCAGGCTTTCTTTGGGGTCAGTGCCGAGGCTGCACCGGGGAAGGATGGAAGTGTCGCTCTCCGCTGGTGGCTGCAGTGTCGTCTTGTCCTTCTGGACCCGGCTCTGCTTGGTGTGCATCCCTTGTTTTGCTGTTGAGTGACGCAGCTGTGACATGGGGCTGTAGTTCCCGAAAGCCCCTCGTTCCCAGGGGAGCGTGCCCTGGTGCCCCGCACGGCTCTTGCACAGCCGCCCCGGCAGGGCCGGTCCCCATCCCCGCCTGCTGTGGGGCCGTTTCCCTCCTGTCGGCTGCGATACCCATAACCAACTCCTCGCTGTGGCTGTCCAAGGGCCTTTCTTGCGCTTCCATAATTTATTTGCTCAATTTTTGTTCTTCCTGGAACACTGGGGCTTGTGAGGAGGCATAGCGCTGCACCGTGGGGCATCGCGGGCGGGTTGTGCCTGCGTTCAAAGGAGTTTGTCTGCCATCTCCTCTCATTTACTGTTGGGTTCATATAACCGTAAAGTAATGGTCACTGACCCGGTAACTCGGGGAATCTGTGCTCCTCAGCTGCCCGGCGCTGCTGGCGACGCGGGGTGATGCTGAGCTCCCTCTCTCGCGCAGCGGGAGCAGAAGCGCCGTCTGCACGCTGCGTTTGATGCTCAGCGCACAGAGCCCCCGTGCCGGGGGGTTCCTGGGGTCGGCGTTCGCAGGACGGCCTCTTCCCGGCCTCGGGGCGTGGGGGATCCCCGCGAAAGGCTCGGGGGCACCGCAGGCTTCCGCGTACCTGCAGTCAGCAGCGTTGCCAACGCTCAGTGCTAGCAGGGGTTTACTCGATCACGCGCTGGTGCGTGTTGTTTGTGGTTTGTGAACTAAACGTAAGGAAAAATTGTGATGAACAGCTTAGGATTGAGTCCTATCAGATAATCTTTTTTCCGTGATTTTTTTGTTTAAAATCCCTGGAGTGCTGCGTTGTCTCTGTGGGAAACTCGCCTACCTGGTTGTATTTTCTTTTTGTATCTGCATGTACATTACATGTGACGACCTCTGTGCCTGAAGCCACCAAACTGACTGCACAGGCTCTGCCTCGTACCCTCTCTTTTACAGGTTCAGGTGATATTTGCCACAAAAAAACCCACCTCCAAACCCAGTTAGGCGTTGTAACCAGAGCCCGGCAGTGACACTGCTCTCGGTGTACCCCGGGGGCGATTGCCTGCAGCAGCCCGTGTTGCTCGGGCCGGCTGAGGTGGGAGCGGGTGCGGCGGCAGGAAGAGATGCATCTTCTGTTTCTGCAATAAACCACGATGATTTTCGTACC